GGTGCCGAAATTTCAGCATTGCTATTAACCCTAACTACTTCAATGTAATTAAATCACATTGCAACATTTGCGCATGGACTATAACAATAATTTCGGATAATTTGCCAAACTATTTCGCTCAGTGTAGAAAATAAGCATGTTTTCTCAGCGTGCTAAGTTGTGTATCAATCAAAGTCATGCTGTGAAAAAGATACATCCGATATCAAAGGCACCGACAGCTACTGTCGCTTCTCCTTGATCGGTATTCTCGGTTTGGAACTTTCAACTGGTCCGAGTGAGCTAAGTGATTCTTTAGCAATAAACTATGACTCCAAAAATAATATTCACTGACACTGACAGCAGCAAGCAAAATATTAAAAATATTCCGCCAAGATGTAGGCAACACGTAATAAGGCATCAAAATGGCGGAGTTTTCTCCTTTTAAAAGGCACTCAGAAAGCTGCGCAGTGCGACCATTCCCCGTATAGGAAGAGAAAATCAAAGTATGTGGTTCATTTAAAAACTGTTTAAATAAAACTTCAAATTTAATAAATCGGAAGTATGTGTGTCAATTTAATGATTGTTAACGAAACACGTCTCCAAGCTCTAGGTAAAACATTTACAATTATTTTTGAGGTTAAGTTATTTATTTATATTTAGTTTCGTTACAGTTTCTACAAAATAGTCATGTATTTTATATACAACTCTAAAAGAGAAAACTGCGTAAATGGATACAATGTCATCGGTATTCTTTTATAGGAAAACCATCAAAATTAAGTGATGACAGTTTCGTCAAGAAATGGGCTCTTATGGCAATGATATAATGTACGTAACTTTAAACAGATCTTAGATTGCAGTTGCCAGCCAAGAAAAATCATTGTAGATTGTACCATAAGGTATTTCACAAGTATGACAATTTTATTATATATTTTATTTGAACAAGGATAATTTCTTGACTCTAGTACATGTGAATAATTGTTTTATTTTGTAGGTTGTCCCTAACGAATTTGAAGTTATAGAAATATGTCCTATCTACAAATGCTAAAGGTACTGATTAACAGTGTTAGACTGAGGATTTTACTCGAATGATGGTGTTGAATGCAAAAAAAAATGGAAGCTAAACTTACATTTCAATTTTTTTAAAGACGATATAAAAAAAATATTGCACTTGGCTAAATTAATTAAATAAGCTTATACCTATATTATGAAGACAATTAAATATTTACCGATATTAGTACCTGGAACTATGTCGTACTATTTATAGAGGCATGTTGGAGGTATATGATGTTATTAAAAAAATTGTTAGCAAAACTAACAATTCATGTATATTAAAAAAAAGATTTAATAGTTAGATTATTAGTAAACAATACATTATATTGTAATAATAATTGGGGCTAACTGCATTTTTGTCGAAATATATTTGATCTATGTAAATATAGAACATGGAATACAAAAGTATCCAAAGAACATTCAGTCTGCTTATTGTTATTGTTTTAGCCTTGATTATATTTGTGAGTGTGAGGTTAGTGGGAAGAGGACGTGTCAAAAGGAAACATTAACTTCTTAATTTGCCGACGTTTCGACGTTTATTTTTCGTCTTTTTCAAGGCTGAAAATACAATTTTTTTTATTAAAACCTATTATGTAATTTTGGCTCAATCGACTTCTTTTGATCTCACCAACATACAGTAGCTCTATGTACATGGAATTTTGGGACACCATGTATAACAAAAAATATAACATCAAAACGAAAATATAACACAAAGAAAATATAACACGAAAATGAAAATGTAACACAAAAAGAGAATATTATAAAAAAAAAGGTAACTTTAAAAAAAGAATAATAGAAACGAATAACAAATACTAACCGTGCGGATTGTAGATTTGCAATCGATTGTATCAAAAAAATATAAATTAGTCTGGCTAATTGGCATAAATTTCAAAATAAAAAATCTGATGTGTCCAACACATGACTTTCCTATCTAGTTATTATAGGCTTTTTCCGGTTATTTTGTACAACCTATTGAGCATCTCTATAAATGTTTAGAGTATAAACTAAATATATGCATTGTCCACATACATCTACCTCGAAACATTTTTCTATAGATATTCATTGAAAACGAAAATACTGAAAAATTAAAATTTAGCACTTTTCCATTACGGTCCATTTTAGAAAAATCATGTATAAACAAAAATTATAGAGATCGATATCGCAAACAACTTTTAGTTCAACAATTTTCATAAAAATCAGAATTTTGCACATTTTGTCAAATTTCTCGGATACGGACCATTTCAGGAAATTTTGATATAAAACAATAATTATAGATAATAATATTAGAAGTAACTTTTATTTAAACAATTTTCTTCTCCAAACATAAATAACAGATATATTCCATAAAATATAAAAACGGCCTCCCATAAAGTACCCCCTAGATGTTCCGACTTTGTCCAAAATCTAATCATTTCACGTCAGGCCGAAATGAAACTTAAGTTTAAAATTTATTGTTTTTTTCTTCATCCGTTTTTGAGTTTTCTTCAAAATTCGAAATTTACACATTTTCTCAAATATCTCGAATACGGTCCATTTAAGAGAAATTATGTATAAAATAAAAATTATAGAGAATTATATTACAAACAACTTTTATTCCAACAATTTTTATAAAAAAATATTTTTTTTACATTTTGTCAAATTTCTCGAATACGGACCATTTTAGGAAAATTTTGTATAGAACAAAAATTGTAGATAATTATATTAGAAAATATCGCGAAAATAGTCAAAACGGATTCAGGGGACCTCAAAACGTAAAAATCCGTCGAAAACTCGAGGTCGAAAAAATCATGATTCCTATACTTTCCTTATATCTGTATACAGATAGGAAAGTAAAAAAGGCAAAGAAAGAATTTGTAATAAAAATAAGAATAATAAGTAATGATTATTGGACATATAGATTCAAAAAATTTGCACGATTTTCATTATACCGTGAGCACCATAAGTCTTACCCCCCCTATCTAACTCGTTACTGGAGTCTTGTTAGGAAAATCGCCGAGACACATCGATTTTTGATTTCTACAGTGTACATTTTTGTATGAATAGTTTACCCTTGCTTTCATCCCTTACTGGAGGGGAGCAACCCTTTCGAAAAATTTAAATGGCATGGGGTGGTGAGTGATAGCTCATTTGAAAGAGGGTTTTATTATCTATTTAACCAAGTAAAAAATTTTGAAATTTGCTTCATTAATTCTCGACTAATTGTTGTTTCAGAATAACGGAAATTAACGTAGCGCACTCATCCTTAGAATTAAAATTCGGCCCTGCACGATTTCGGTTTTGGTTCAGCCGTGAAGTAAGACTTTTTGCCATTAGAAGGTCACTATTAGTTTAGTTGCTTTCCTATTTTGTGAGGTTTTGTTATTTTTAAACATTAATAAATCAACACGTAATGAAGCAAATTTCAAAATTTTTTACATGGTTGAATAGAGAATAAAACCCTCTTTCAAATGAGCTATCACTCACTACCCCATGCTATTTAAATTTTTAGAAAGAGTTGTTCCCCTCCATTAAGGGATGAAATTAAGGGTAAACTAATCATACAAAAATGTACATTATAGAAAACAAAAATCGACCTGTCTCGGCGATTTTCCTAACAAGACTCTAGTAATGAGTTAGTTAGGGGGGGTAAGACTTATGATGCTCACTGTATACATCTTTATTGTTTAATGTTTAATATTAATGAAACATTGGATTAACTAATATATGCTAAATATAAATAGATACCATATACTTACAGGTACTATCAATTAAAAGTAGATATTTATTGAATACTGTACACATTCTTGAGTACATTCTTAGCATTTGCATAGCACTTACAAGCAACGTCCCCTAACATATACTTAGTATATTCCGAGATTGTTTTTAATGCAAATAAAGTATATTCTCAGCATATTCATATTCTTAAAAAGTATATACTAAGAATGTATGATTGTTATTTGGGTTATTATTGAAAACGAAAAAATTTAAAAATATTCAGCAAAAGACTTAAAAACTCTTTTTCTAAAGAACTCGTTTTGTAATTAATCAATTATTACCTACTACTAATAATTTTTTATGTCTGTTTCTTTTTAAGTTATTCTAATCTTTTATTTTACTTTTTTGAATAATTGTGAAAAGTTTTATTTTTAAATATCTTGTTTTGTTTTTATTATATTATATTATATTTTATTTATACCGGGTGTTCAAATTAAAGTGTTACAGTTAAATACCGCCGAAAATATGCATTTTAGAAATAAAAGTTTCAGACAAAAGTTTTATAGTTTTTTGGGGGAAACATTTTGGCTAAATTCATTTTTTTATAGCTGAACATAATATGGCCATATCGAGGTGAACTTTGTTTTTTTAAATGGGAATCCCATTTTTTTCTTACATATTCTTAAAGTACATAAAAAATAAGAAACTTTTGAGGGAATTATTTTTTTTATTGGACTTTTACTTTTTGAGTAACAGCTACTTGAAAATGTTGCTGCGCGAAAAAAAAGTTGGCCAAAAGTTTTTCCCTACAAAACTATAAAACTTTCGTCTGAAACGTTTTTTTTTTTATAAAAAGCGGTATATAGCTGTAACGCTTTAATTTAGAACACCCGGTATATCAGTTATTATACTTCTTTGCTCAATAGAGATAGTTATTAACAATCTTACTAGAGCCTGTTGGCGTCGGAGGAAAAAGGGCCTACATGACACTATGCAATTTTAAAATTGAATCTTTGTTTAAATTGAGATTGGTTTCTGAACATTTTTAAACATGGTTGAATCTAATTGGATCGGTAATAAATGTGGAACGGAGCTGAGAAGCAAATGTATGAAATACTTGTTAAAAATAGCATGTCTAGACCCGACAGGTTCCTTTTTAAAAATAAAATTATTAGGGTCAAATTAAATCATAAAATTGAATATTACATAATTTTAACAGAAAAAGTGACATAAACTAGTTTAATACAATAAAATCCGACCACCTAATTCTAAATTACCTTTCTCTGTTTGAATTATATCATACATAATAATTTGCTTATATTTTCCATTTTTTGGCGGATTTTTCTCTTCAAAAACTGTAACCATTGTGACATCATGTCCGGCTTCTGCTAGTCCTTTTGCTAGTTCATTTCCAAGAAAATAGTGACTTGGAAAATAGATAGGAAAAACGCATAATATTTTGTAACCACTAGTACCACTAACATATAAAAAAACCGTGCATAAAATAAATGCTAAAGAAGCTTTTGAACACATTTTAAATAATTACTATTGTTTTATTTCGGAAACAATAATTTCGATGTAAGATATCTTAAAATTATTACATTTAAAACAATTTTGGCGTTATATATAAATACCTACAAATAATACCAAACCGATAAACAATTTTCTGATATTATTATCATCTCTTCCAGGTCATTAGCCTATGAAAAAAGTAGATCAATAGTCCAGTGTTAATGTAAAAAAAGATATGCGAAGAAAAACATTATATTAATAAAAATAAAAAATACAGTAGCATGTGAAAAAGGCGACTGAAAAACATAATGTAACTTTATAGAATATGTTGACTTATAGATCCTTCGAAATAAAGATGAGACTTTTAATAATATTTGCACGTGAACAAATAAATCGTGTGACTACCTGTGATTGTCGTCTACCGCTAGTGGGCAGGCGTGTACTGTTCTACCTCTGTCTTATCAATACCCTTGCTTATTCTACATTGTTCTTCTAAAAGCTCTATGTCCACTAGGTCGTTTACGCGTACTTGTGCTAGCAATAGTTCGTGAGTTTACAAGCAAAAGGCATTAAGTCAAAAAATAGGTTTATGAGTGATAAGCAATTTAAAGTTTCAATAAAAATGAAAATTATTTAGGGATTATCAACTGCTTCAAAGAAAATGTACACGCTTTCGGAATACAATGTTTACATGATATACAAAAATATAAACCCATTTTGACAAATTTTTGACTTAGTGCCTTTTGCTTGTAAACCCACGATTTTCTAGTGCACTCGATATTCTTATATAACTGTAAAATTATTATATAATACAAAATTACGAATTAATTAAAATATATACGATACGGCTGTGAATAAAAAAAGTATGACTTATCTATCAAAAGAAAATGTTTATTACAGTAAAAACCAAGGAAACATGATTAAATCTATACGAAAATTTTTATTAAGCCGAATAAATATATTAAAATTTTCTTTTTAACTACAAATATGCATTGAAGGATGAGGTATAAATAAAATGTCTACCTCTTAAACCTGTACTACGTTCTGCAAGGGTTTCGTAGTACCACACTTTTAAAGTTTATTTTTGACTCATTCTGCAAGAAAAAAGATGTGCGTATAAGTAAAGGTTAAATCATCTACGCTCCTCTGGAGACACTTTTTCAAAATTTTAGTGTTTTTCTAAAAAAAATACAAAACTTGACTTTTTTTACCCATTTTCAAATATTTTTGTTAGAAAAAACTAAATTGAATTTTGAAAAAGTGATTCCAGAGAAGCATAGATTTAACCTTTACCTACACGTACATATTTTTTCCTTTTTAAAATAGTCATAAATAAACTTTAAAAGTGGGGCACTACGAAATCCTTACATTGCAAGATTTTTCGTCAAGAAAGTGGCGCCTCTGTTAGATTTTTAAGAATTTAATATTCGTGAATGAAAACAATTTATAATATATTTTACTGATGTTTTACGTGGGATAAATAAATTTTACACCTTACTGTTTTACGTAAATCATTTCTGCAATACTAAAATCGACATATAAAATATGCAAGGGTTTCGTAGTACACCAATTTTACGGATTATTTTTATTTTTATTACAAGAAACATTATGTAAGTAGAGCTCGATTACTATCCGAAGAGTATATTGCGTAAAAAAATGTCTAATTTCGCAAAGCTTATTTGACGACGTTAATCTAAAATCTCTTACGGTAGGGGTACCTGATAACCAGTGCTTTCTTTAGCAGTGACGTGTGTACATTTATAAAATATTTTAATTCTAAAATACTCGTAAATGAAAAGTATTAGTCAGAATTTCGACTATTGTTTGTCAAATTTTTAATAAACTGTAAATTAATAAAACAACTGAAAATTTTACTTAACAATAAATATATTTGTGATTATCTATTTCAATTCTCAATATCCGACAATTCTAAATCCCACTCGTCAAATGTGAAAATGAAGTACTAACTCCGCCTTCTACTTTACGCCCATCGTCTGTAAGATATTCCTGTAGCAGCTAGAACTCTCTCTCTCTCTGTATTTGTTCAATGGTATTTTAACAACATTTTCAGCCTCGTCTTTCATGAAGTTAATCAGGCGTGAAATTACTTCTTTGGTCTGGGCGTGAAAAACTTGTCCTTTTTGTCCTAATAAATGTTTTTGATTCATGTCGTTCAACAAGCTAATAGATGCAAGAAATTTGGTTTTGATTAAAAGGTATATCAAGCTAATAGATGCAAGAAATTTGGTTTTGATTAAAAGGTATATAATAGTAGTTTATGTACCAAGGACGAAAAGTTGAGTTTTTACGACGACTTAAAACAAATGTTCGTCCGTGGTTCATACATTATTTTTTAACGAATATGCTTAAAAAATTTAAAAAATTATTTTATTGAAAATTCTTTATAACCCAACTGGCCGTGAACTGTAAGAGTGCCTAGATAATATATTCTTGATAGCTGCTATTATGTGAGTGAACTTAAACAGTAATTATTATTTTTTAAAAGTTATTCAATTAAAACTTTGAGTATTCAAATTTTGTAAGCATTTTACAACGGAAAAAACTAATTATTACTTTAAAAAGTAAATTATACCTAAAAAAGAATGGTTCGAAATTAGAGCTCCTCGATATTTAACCTTGCTTTATTGGCCTAGGTCGGCTAACTGTTTTTCCCTAGCATATTTGAAATATATAGAAAAGTTATGACTAAAACGAATAATATCCAACTTGTGTCATTTTAGTTCTAAAGATGTGAAGCACTTTACACGTGTTCATACATTTTATCTACGACCACACTTAAATGAATTATAATTAAACTTCAATCTTGAACATATAAATATGAGTAATATGTAAGCGATAAATTGATGTGCATACCCCTGGGTCTCTAAAAGTACCTCTATTTTAATATGCACAAAAAATACCACTATTTTTCGACCTTTAGATGGGGTCTTATTTTCCTTTTTCAATAATTATTCTGTATAAAGTGTGATTTCACATCAAGTGTAAAAATACTAATTTTTAAGAATGGTCGTTTATAAAACAAATTTTTTACTCTTTAAATGATTTATTTAGGTAAAAATTGTACTTACCAAAATACACACAAAATTGAATAGTCGAAAAACTGAGAAATAAACGTTTCTTTGGATCAAATCGAAACACTAAACACAAGAAAATAACAATGAAAGGAAATGCAATAAGTAAAACGCTACTGAATGCAACTGTGCAATATTATAAATAAGACGCTGAGAGGTCTGTGACTACGTCTACTCCCTATAAATTCAATCTGGTTTCTGCGCATTGTAAAGTAATGTACTCTACGGATAATAATCAAGCTCTACCTACAGGTAAAGGCTCAACACGTATCCGTCTGGAGTCACCTTTTAAAAATTTGAATCGGTTTCTTCTGAAAAATATCTAAAAAGATGTCTTTCTAACGAAAAGAAAAACTTTCACTTTTTTCTTACAATTTATTTGTAGTTTTTGCCCAAATCGATACATTTTTTAACTGTGTAACTTACAACTCGGCTGTTGATAGCCAGTGTAACAATACGGGTTTTTATGAATTTGTTCCAAGAGCTGTACCTAGATGGTTCATTATAACAACTTTAAAGGAATTTAAGAAAATACTACACGACTTCGTATTGAATTTAATATAGTATCATTAGAGAGTAGGCGTAAAGTTGCATCTTTATTATTTTCCAGAAAATCTCTCTTTAATGTACCATCACGAATAACACGCAATATTCTAGAAATGATTCGCTTAGGCAACAATATTAGTTAGGTATGCTTGATATTTACTGGAACCTTCCTTTTAATAAATTTAAAAATATAATTCTTAAATACATTAAATGTAACTTGTTTGTAAATAATAATAATTAATTAATGTTCCCCACTCGACCATTCACTGTTGAGTTCTAATTAACAGTGCTGTTCCTAAAGTGGCGCTGGGAAACAGTAACAATGCCTACACAGAACACGAGGCTAAAGGCCGTAGTAGTCGACGCCGATGACACCAAATTAAAACAAAAATAATAATTAATAATAAAAAGGTATAATTAATACTCTTGATGTCACCTTTCATTTATGAAAATAAACGGCTCAAAACGAAAAAGAAAACAATTCTTTATTTTTTTTACATTTCTACAAATATTCTTATTTTTAGAAATGGCTCATTTTTCGGTTTGAATAGTTTGTAGTGTATCGTCTTTCGCCATATATTGTATTTTGAATTATTATCCCCTTTAGTTAAGTATAGATAATTTTTGTTAAGTTAATTAATTAGTTGATAAGACTTGAAATTATGATTAATTAAATAATTTTGTAAAAGAACTACCCTTGTAATAAGGCCAGTAGGTCTGATTAGATAGAATAAATAAATAACAGATTTTTCAAACAACAAAAATAATTTTTGTTAAAATAATAATAATAATAATAATAATAATAATAATAATAATAATAATAATAATAATAATAATAATAATAATAATAATAATAATAATAATAATAATAATAATAATAATAATAATAATAATAATAATAATAATAATAATAATAATAATAATAATAATAATAATAATAATAATAATAATAATAATAATAATAATAATAATAATAATAATAATAATAATAATAATAATAATAATAATAATAATAATAATAATAATAATAATAATAATAATAATAATAATAATAATAATAATAATAATAATAATAATAATAATAATAATAATAATAATAATAATAATAATAATAATAATAATAATAATAATAATAATAATAATAATAATAATAATAATAATAATAATAATAATAGATAGATAGATAGATAGATAGATAGATAGATAGATAGATAGATAGATAGATAGATAGATAGATAGATAGATAGATAGATAGATAGATAGATAGAATGTTTATTGACTACGTTACATACATTGAGGTACATTTGAAGTCAGGTCAATAATTGTAATAATATAAATAGTAAAATGTGACATTAGAATAAAATATTCAATTAAAATACAATTTAAAATACAATTTAAAATACAATGAAATAAAATATAACATCACGATAACAGTAACAAAATACAAATACAATTATTAAAAAATTAACATCAAGAT